TTGCTACCTGTACAATCGGGATTGACAACTACACACATAAGAGAGGTCCCACGATGAAATAAAAAAATTGTGAACCCCCCTCCCATGAAGAGGTTGTCAACCCTGTTGTACAACTAGCAAAATTCTACACTTATAATGCAACCTCAATGAAAAGCCCAAACACGACATTAAACACAAAATACCAAGGATCGATTAATAACAAACAAATCAAAAACTTGCAGAAAAGTAAAACTGAACACAGAAGAATTTTTCGGCCAAATCCCCAGAGGTTCGATGACCATTTAATACCTAGTCCCCTATTGAGTATCCATTCAAGAACGGATATTGCTCGATTGTACTATAATACCTTATACTGGCAACAAACGTTATAAACGTTTAGTTAATACCAGAATACAGTATAAGAGACTTATCTCTTCACAAAGAACCAACAGATCTGACTCGAATCACACAAGAAACTGCAGATTTAACTTCACGAACCCATAATAATAGTTCTCACTACTAGTAAATTCCTTCTTTAAAGGCATCAGAAGTAGCAATATATTCAGCTTCAGTAGATGATAAAACTACAATCTTTTGAAGTTGAGATTTTCAACTAATCACAGTACCACATAAGGTAAAGAAAAAGGATGAAGTTGATTTCCTATTATCCCTATTTCCAGCAAAATCCGAATAAGTAAATCCCTTTAAAGTTACCCCTTCTTTATCCAATTTAAACATAAGACCATAGATAGATGTCCCTTTCAAGTATCTTAAAATTCATTTCAAAGCATTCAAATGTTCTTACTCAGGATTACTCATAAATCTGCTAAGTAAACTAATACTGAATGGAAAATCAAGTCTTGTGTATACCATCAAATACATTATAGATCCAATCACATTAGCATAAGGTACATTCGACATTCTATCATATTCTTTATCAGTTTTAGGGCAGAAATCAGAAGAGAGGTTGAAATGATTTGCTAAAGTTAAAGTAATAGATTTACAATCAAGCATATTAAACATTTTTAAAATTTTATTCACATAATCATGTTGATTTAAGAATAATATATCTTTTTCTTTGTCTCTAAAAACCTGCATACTAAGAATTCTTTTAGCAGCTCCTAAATCCTTCATATCAAATTCAGATTTAAGTTTCTGTTTAATAAACTCAATCTGAGACTTATCATAGCTAGCAAGTAACATACCATCTACATAAAGTACTAAGTATAAAGAGTTTTTACCTCCATTACCTCTGCAGTAAAGGCATATGTCATAGTTGTTTCTTTGAAAGCCAAGTTTCAGTACAAAAGTGTCAATTCTTTTGTACCATTGCCATGGGGCTTATTTTAAACCATACAAAGATTTCTTTAAAAGACATACAACTTTTTCAGAATCACCTTTTATAAAATTAACAGGTTGTTTCATATAAATTTTTTCATCTAAGTCACCATACAAAAAAGAAATTTTAACATCTAACTGATCTAATTCCCACTTAAACTGAACAACAAGGGCAAGAATACATCTAATTGTGGTGTACTTAACAATAGGGGAAAAGATTTCATTGTAATCTACACCATTTTTTGTGTAAAACACTTAGCAACTAATCTTGCTTTATATCTTACACTTTTGTTTCCTTCCTCTTCTTCTTTTATCTTGTAAATCCATTTACAATCAATCAAGTTTTGATTATGTGGTCTCTTTACCAATTCCCAAGTATTCTTCTTAAGAAGAGATGACATTTCATCATTCATAGCTGCTATCCAATTTTTAGCATCTTTGCAATTAATGACATCATCATAAGAGCTTGGTTCATTTTCAAATTGTTCTTGATAGGTAAACAGTGAAACAAAATCATCACAATCAAATCGAGCAGGTATTCTAATTTGCCTTCTCTCCCTATCTCTAGTTAACTGATATTCATTTAGGGGAGGATTTGCAAAATTAGTTTGTTCATCAATATCATATGATTGATTGTTTTCAGTTTTAGCTGTGATGTTATTTTCATTTTGATCAAGTTCAATTAAGGTAGAAACATGAGAATCAGTTTCACTATGAAGTTTCTCACCTCAATTTGAACATTCAATCAGATTATTCTCCTTGCCGTCTAAACATGGACTAACAGATTCATTAAAAACTACATCTCTTTAACAATTACTTAATAGCCCTTTTCATTGTAAAGCCATAATCTGTACCCTTTTACATTTTCATCATAGCCTAGAAAAACACACTTAAGTGATCTAGGTTCCAACTTTCCAATATTTTGATGGGTATAGGTAGCACATCCAAAAAAATTTAAATGTGAATAATCAGTAGGATTTCTAGACCATACATATTCAGAAATATCATAATTCAAAGCACTTGTTGGAGTTCTATTAACTAAATATGCACCAATTTTTACTACTTCACCCCCAAAATAGTTTAGGCAGACCAAAACTCAGAAGCATACATCTCACTTTGTTCAACAAGGTTCTATTTATCCTTTCAACTATACCATTTTGTTGAGGGGTATAAGTAACTGTTCTATGTCTTACTATGCCACATTCTTTGCAAAAATTATTGAATTCATAATTGCAAAATTTCAAACCATTGTCTGTTCTCAAGATCTTTATTTTGTTATCAGTTTGATTTTCAATCTGAATTTTCCATCCCTTGAAGATAGAAAAAGTTTCATCTTTTAATTTTAACAAGAAAATCCAGATTTTCCTTGAATAATCATCAAGGATTAAAATATAATATTTAAAGCCTGACAAGGTAGTCACAGAGGCTGGGCCTCACAAATCAGTATGCAAATACTCAAGTATTTGTTTAGACTTATGAATTCAAGGTAAGAAAGGAAGTTTAACTTGTTTTCCTATCACACATTTTTCACAAATACCAATTTCACCAAGATTTTGATTTCCAAAAACCCATTTGTTTTGTAAGGCTTTTAAACTTTTCTTACCAATATGGCCTAATCTTTCATGCTACAACTTTGCAAATGTAAAGTTATCAGTTAAAGAAGCAGTAGTCAAACCAAGTAAATGTTTTGCTTTAAGAAAATAGAGACCATGTCTCTTAGGGGCACTAATGACCAAGTCATTTTCCCTAAGAGTTTTTCACATGTCTTTGACCTATTTTAATGTCAAACTCCATATCATCAAGTATTTCTAAAGACACCAGATTTCGTTCTAAGTCTGGGACACACCTGGTTCCTTTCAAACTGAGGACATTACCATTTTCTAACAACAGTTTTATAGTTCCTATTCCATTTATTTTATAGGTAAATTGCCCACCAATTGTCTTTTCAAAATCAAGAAAACTATTCTTGTTTGGGCACATGTGGAAGGAACACTCAGGGTCAAGAATCCATTCATTATTTAGCTTCTTTTAAACATTACAAGGACCAATCCATCTTCGGTTTTATCCTTATTGAATACTAAGGCAGCATTTCTACCCTCAACTTTCTTTTCTTTTAGCTCATTTTTCTTTTTATAACAGTTTTTAATGAAGTGACCCTATTTCCCACAGTAGAAACATTTTTTCCCTTTAGCCTTGTTCTTGGATTTGGCTTTTTCACTCCATTTGTTTTTATTCTCATTAAGGTTCTTAGAATGATAGCTTGGTTTACCTAACCCCTTTCCTTTTGCCATTAGGGTGTCACCACTGTGATTATCATTAGTTTCAGATTTCATTTCCAATGCTTTATTTCCTAAGGCATTTATAATCACATTAGTGGTAAGTTCATCTCTTCCATATTCAAGAGCAACCTTAATGTCTCTATATTCTAGTCATTAACAGAGTTCAACAGAACTATAGCCAACTGATTTTTTGAAAGTTTTTCATCACAGTTGGCTAAGTCTTGGGTCAACTTTGTAACTTATTCAAGTTATCATCTAAATCAATGGAAGAGTCCATTTTAAAAGAAAAAAGCTGTTTTAACAAATAGCATTTATTTGGGATAGTCTTAGTAACATAATGGTTTCAAGTTTGATCCAAATTTCAGAAATAGTTTTGGTTTCACCAATGTTTCGTATTGCATTATTAGAAAGATACAAGAAAATGGTACTCCAAACAACTTCTTTAAGTTCATTTTTCTTAACAGGATTCATATCTTGAGGCCAACTGTCATCTAATGCCTTAGCACATCTCATTTGCATAAGTATGGCTTTTATCTTTTGACTCCACATATTAAAGTCACATTTTTCATCAAATTGAGCAACTTCAAACTTAGCAGTTGCCATATCAATATAACACAGAGTGCTCAGATATAAATCAAGAATATAAGAAACAATTAATTTCAAGTTTTTGTATAATAACAATACAACAATGTCACAAGTTTTAACACAAAAGGACAGACAGTCAAAAATAATATAAGGAATACAATATCAGAGATCACAGAATTATGTTTCAGTGACTTCTCCTTCAAAGACTGTCTAGATATACACCCGTACTGGATTTATCTTAGATTCCCAAGGTCTTGTAAGAGCCTTTAGACAAAGAATATTTTCCAGGGTTTTTTGGTGTATGGTAAGTCAAAGGGAAAAATCCAGAAACCGAATTTATAAATAACATTTCCAAAAGTTTCAGAAAGATCTCACCCAACAAGTTGTAAAAAACTCGATATCTTTCAATCCTGCTTAAAAGCAGTTCCAAAATTTTTTTAGATCTGTAATAGTTCAATGCCTTCCTTCCAAGATCCAGATATCTTGTCCCCAGTTTAGAGCTCTGATACCCCTGAAAAGCCAAACACGATATTAAACACAAGATACTAAGAATCAATTAATAACAGACAAATAAAAAACTTGCAAAAGTAAAACTGAACAAAAAAGAATTTTTCGGCCGAAGCCCTAGAGGTTTGGTGACCCTTTTAACACCTACGCCCATGTTGAGCATCCATTCAAGAATGGATATTGCTCGATTGCACTATAATGCCTTAAACTGGCAACAAAGGTTACAAATGTTTAACCAATATCAGAATACAGTGTAAGAGACTTATCTCTTCACAAAGAACTAACAGATCTGACTCAAATCACACAAGAAACTGCAGATCTGACTTCACAAACCCAGAATACTAGTTCTCACTACTATTACAGATTTCACTCAAGAAATCACATGTATTCAAGACCAAACTATCAAAATATCATTTCGAATGAGATTTTCAAAAATAATGGCGAATCAGAAAACCCTAGCAACTCAGAGAAGACGAACTCTCTCGAAATGAAAAGGCAGAAGAAAAATCTGTGGCCAAACGAACTGTTCAAGTGTATTTATATCACCAAGTCCAATTGACTCATCCAATGGTTCATGATGTGCCAAGTGTTAGCATCCAATGTAAAGATCACTTTATAAAATCGCATTTACATAAAACGTTTTTAGCTGAAAATTATGAGAGCATAGAGAACCAGGTTCGAGTCACAACACTCAAGTCCTAATATAATATTATATCAGAGCTTCTTAAATTCTAACAAGGAATTCAATTTGATTAAAAATCAAATGTTTAGCATATTAGGTTAATAGGTTCAA